TTTGTCTTTGAATTCGTTGAATTCTTGAGTGAACTTTTGGAATGCTCCTTGAATTTCTATTTCTATCTTTGCCTCTATTCTATTAATCTTATTTGCAATCCAAATTCTGAATTCAATTTCTGACATCTCAGCCATCTGTTTATATAGGGGATCTTCAGTTTCATCTGCTACATCCTTTCTTGGGGGGGGGGTTGACCTACTCTAGTTATTCATATTACCAGCCACATTCTTTCTTGGGGGGGATTGATCTACTCTGGTTATTCATATTACCAGAGCTTTTCTGCTGATTCCACCCCTTGATTATTTTACCCTGTTTGGCTTTTCCCCTTGAGATTTGTCAAGGACCCGTATGGTGTTACAGCCTGAGAGACTGGGGACCTGCTTGGTGTGGTGGGGCTAAGTGGCTCTGCCTTATTTTCAGCTGGTCTCTGTCCTACCCTAGTGATTCAGTTTCTCTTGGTTGAAGTCTCTGCTGTGGAGAAATACCAGCAATTAATTTGCCCCGCCCCCTACAAACAATAATTGGGCAAGGAAAATCAATCCTTCCCTCAACCATACACCCAGGGTGCCCCTTTGAATAGTCCCTGGGTGGTCTGCCCAGTTTAAGGGGTCCAAATCAGTCATCCCAGTCAGCACCCATTTCAGGTGGAAAAGTTCAAATGTTTCTGGCAGCTAGATAAGAGGAGTCTGCTCATAGCTCAGATGTAACTTGCTCCAGTGCTCCGTGAGGGCAAAGGGACCCACCCAGCAAATGGATTAGTCTGGGAAGGTTAATACCTCCTTCCCCACCTTGCACCCAGTCACTCATAATCCCCCAGGTCTGTGACCCTATTCACTCTAGGAGGCAACTGCTCCCAGGGTTTATGACTGCCAAAATACCTGGAAATCTGTGTCCAGTAGGGGGGCCTTGCGTGTTTAAATTGCTGTGAACATTCTCTTAATTCCAGGCCCTTGTCTTCTGTCCCGGCTATATTCCTCTGCAAGTCAGAGGCTGCTAGAGCTGATGAGGAACTCAACCCTGGGCAGCAAACAACTAGAATTTACACTCAGGTGTCAATCCCTGCCTCTGCCCACTCACTGCCTTTCTCTCAGCATTCCCCTGAGGGCAAGGTGCTTGTTAGGAAATCTGAGTCCAGTCCAGCAGGGGAAGAATTTAGGCTTTGAAAGTTCTTGCCATTCCAACCTCACACCTTCTGTTCCATCTAAATTCTTCTGCAAGGCAGAGGCTGCTAGAGCTGGTAAAGAACTTAGCTCTGGGCAGCAAGCAAATTATAGAGTTTACACTCAGGTGTCAATTCCACCCTCTGCCCGCCCACTGCCTTGGTCTCAGCTATTCCCCTGAGGGCTGGTGCTAATGGTCTCTTTACTTTCAAAAGTTACCAAGTCCATTTGGCCTGTGGCTGCTGTCCAGAACCTCTGGTTGCCCAGAGAGATGGGGCTTGCCTGTCTGGAATGGTGTCAGTTTGCAGTGCAGGATGCCACTGTTGCTGTATGGCTTCCTCCAAGCCACTTTCTTCTCCTCACTCCTGTGCTATAGTCAGCACAGAACAGCACCAGCCCTTTCCCCCTCCACTTCTCTCAAGGAGATGCCCAAGAATCTGGACTCCGTAGGTAACAAACCTCCAGACCTCAGGGTTGGGGGGGAGGGGGATCCTCAGATTTCAATGTTGCAGGTGGGGAATATATACAGTTTTATACAGTTTTATAGTTTTATGCCTGACAGGAGGGTGCCATGGCACGCCAGCAGGGGTAGGAGGTCCAGTTTTTAGGAGGTCTCTCCCATGGGATAGAGTGGGAGGATGTTTGAACTCTACTAGCTTGTTTGCATGGAGTAAACTGTGAGCCCTTCTTATGGGGGAGGGGACTCTCGTCAGCTTGGTGGTGGATTTTGTACCTTTTAATTGTATTTTGGGGGTTGCAGCTTGCTTCAGGAAGGTTGAAGTGCACTCTTCAATCTTCTCTCTTGGCTTCACTCCAAACCGTCAGCTCCGTTGCTAAACTTGTCTTTTAAGCCTCCTTCTGGATGGGAGCTTCTGTAAAAAGCTGGCTGCAGTCTGCCATCTTTGCTCCATTACCCCCCCTTTTTTTTAGAGACAGAGTTTCACTTTGTCGCCTTTGGTAGATATTATGGCATCACAGCTCACAGCAACCTCCAGCTCTTGGGCTTAGGTGATTCTCTTGCCTCAGCCTTCTGAGTAGCTGGGACTATAGGCACCCGCCACAATGCCCAGCTATTTTTTGTTGCAGTTTGGTGGGGGCCATGTTCTAACCTGCCACCCTCGGTATATGGGGCCAGTGTCCTACTCACTAAGCCACAGGTGCCACCCAACAGTAAAGCTTTTTGACTGGTCACCCCCAAGATATCTCTGATCAACCTTTCTCCCACCTCTTCCAATTGTAAACACTCACACCTATCCAGATCACCTTGCTGAGACTTGCACACCTATCCAGATCACCTGCTGGTTGGGAATGGGGTTCACTTTGATGAGGGGCACCAACTCCGCGAGTGAACATTTAGGCCACATCAACCCAAGGGTGAAATCTTTGCCCAGGGGCTCGGCGCCTATAGCTCAACCA